TTTAAAACTCTAAGCGAGGATAGATAGTAGGTAAAAACATGTGAAGAGACATTTAGGAAACAACAAAATGCATCATACAGAATATACTACAGAAAGGCAAATAAATATAAGAAAAATAAATATAAGAGAGTTAGGAATAAAAAAAGATAGAATGAAATGATCCTATATGCTATCTAATGGGGACTCAAGAAAAAGATCATAAAGAAAAATACAGGAGAGGTAATACTCAAAAGTATCACAGCTGCTGTTCTTCGTTAATATTCGGAAATCAAAATGAGTCTCCCACAATATAAATAAATCCACACCTAGACACATTAAAAAAGGAGATCAGCTGGGCGTAGTGGCTCACACCTGTAACTCCAGCACTTTGGGAGGCTGAGGCGAAAAGACTGCCTGAGCCCAGGGGTTCAAGATCAGCCTGGCCAACTTGGTGAGACCTCGTCTCTACAATAAATCTAGAAAAATTAGCCACGCATGGTGGCACATGCCTGTAGCAGGTTTTTCCCCCTGGATTGCTGAGGCGGAAGGAACCCCTGAGCCCAGCAGGATGGGACTGTGAAGGCCGTGAGCATGCCACTGCACTCCAGCCCAGGTGGCAGAATGAGACTCTGACTCCAAAGAAAAAAAGAAAGAAGATCATCAATGACAAAGAGATCTTCAGAGCAAAGAGAAATGATGGATTCCCTATAGAGGAACAATCTGATGCAAAATTTCTACATAGCAACGAAAGAATTCAATAAAATATCTTTAAAATACTGACAGAACACAAATGCAATATACAATTCATAGCAAAATAAAGACATTTTCTGAGGAAAAAAAGAAAGTCTAAAAGAGCTTACCATTAACAGACCTTTTAGCATTGAAGTTAATGAGCTAATGTAGACCAGCTAGGTCAGTATCTGGACTACACAGAGGATGGTGTCAACATTTTTTATCAGGATAAAGCAAAGGAGAACAACACCTTAAATTACTCTTATTAAAGGCTATAATATCAAATCCAGGAGAATTTATAACAATTGTATATTTTCTCTCTACAATTTGGGAAGATATAAGCCCTGTTTCTTTTCATTTAGCAATTACTCTTACATTTAATAATATGCCTACTTAACCAAACAAAGTCTATAGTTTTTCAATAGCTTTTTATCCTGAATGACACAAGAACCTAAGAATCAATCCCATTCAGGCTTAACAGTAACTGTGGTTCAGTGTTTTAAGTCTATCTTTTTTATCTTTAAAAACTAAATATAATTATTAGTTTTGATTGCGTATTAATCTTTTTGCATTATTTTTAAGATACTAAATTTAAAAAGATCCCTTCAAAAACTACTGAGGAGAAATATTAAATATTTGTAATGAAGATATGGGAGATAATCAATATTTCATAAACAGTTTCTATTAATAAGATCTGTCCTTCTTTAGCTGTGTCACACATGCCTGCAAAATGTCTTGAATGTTCACAGCATTACGTATAGCAATTGTATTCATAACAGCCAACAACTGGAAATCACTCAGGTGTCCATCAATACATTAACAAAAAGAACAAATTATGGTACATTTATATAATAGAATACAACTCAATGATTTAAAAGAATGAACTACAAATACACACAACATAATGAATCTCAAAAATACTATGCTGAGTAAAAGAAGCTTTACACAAAAGAATATCTACTTAATGACTCCATTCATATGAAAATTTAAGAGATAAACGAATCCACAGTGAAAAAATGTAGAACAATAGCTGCCTCTTGATAGAATGGGATGAGGAATGAGTGAAAAAGGATATGAAGGAACTTTCTGTGGGTAACAGTAATATTCTATATCTTGACAAATATTTAGGTTACACGGCTGTATGCATTTGTTAAAACTCATCAAATGGTACACTTAAGAACTATACATTTCATTCTATATAAACTGTATATTAAAAGAAAAACCATGTCCACAAATACTGAACTCTAGTTAATAATATATATACTATAGTGTATAATTTCCAGCTTATTTGGAAAGTATCAAAAAAATAAGGCCAATGACAGATAGATATATATAAGATCAAGCACAGAATCTAGGTGGTAGGCTGATGTTTTTCAGAGCTTCTAAAAAAAAATAAAAAAGAATCTAGGTAGTAGTACATCTTATTCCTATTTTTGCTGTAACAAATAACAATAGGCTGGGTACAGTGGTTCACATCTATAATTCCAGCACTTTAGGAGGCTGACGTAGGAGGATTGCTTGAGCCCAGGAGTTCAAGACCAGCCTGGGCAACATAGCAAGACATCGCCTCTACAAAATTTTTTAAAATTGGTTGGGCGTGGTAGCACACACCTATAGTCCCAGCTACTCGGAAGGCTGTGGTAGAAATATCACCTGAGCCCAGGAGTTCGAGGCTACAGTGAGCTATGATCATGCCACTGCTCTCTAGCCTGGGAGAGAGAGTGAGACTCTGACTCCAAAAAGTAATAGTAACAACAAATTTGGGGGCTTAAAACCGCTCAGGCCGGGCTCGGTGGTTCAGCCTGTAATCCCAGCACTTTGGGAGGCCAAGGTCAGTGGATTGTCTGAGCCCACGGGTTGAAGACCCGCCTGGGCAACTTGGTGAGACCTCATCTCTACAATAAATCAAAAATTAGCTGGGCGTCGTAGTACGCGCCTGTAGTTCCGGCTACTCGGAAGGCTGAGGCAGAAGGATCGCCGAAGCCCAGCAGGTCGAGGCTGCGGTGGCTGGGAGTGGCCACTGCACTCCAGTCTGGGCGACAGAGTGAGACTCCAATTCAAAAAACAAACAAAAACAAAAAAACAACAGCTCAGCTGTATTCTATTACAGTTCTGGAGGTCAGAAGTCCAGGGTATCTGCGGGGCTGCATACCTTCTGCAGTCTCTTGGGTAGAATCCATTTCCTTGCCTCGTCCAGCTTCCACCTACATGTACTTCTTGGCTTGCAGAATCTTCCTCCATTTTCAAATATTTCTGACTATGACTCCTACATCTATTATCATATCTCTGTCCCTGGTTCTGAGTCTTCTTTTTTCCTCTTGTGAGAACCATTATGATTACACTGGGCCTATCTGAATAATCTAGCATGATTTCTCCATCTCAAAATTCTGAATTTAATCACATCTACAAAGTCCCTTTTACCATATAAGGTCACATATTCACAGGGTCTCAAAGTCAGGACATGGACATCCTTGGGTGCCATATTCTGTCTATCATAGTGAGGATATATGGGTGTTCACTGTGAAATTCTTTTCAAGTATTACATATGCTTGAAATTTTCCTAATAAAATGTTGGGAAAAAATTAAAATCCAGGAATCCAGATAAAGTGTTGCCATCAGCCTAAATATGAAAACCAGTAACTTTCTTTTTCTAGTAAAAAGGAGACATTTTGCCCCCTTTTAAAGAAAGCTCTTTTTTCAATGAAGAATTTCACTGAAAGAAGTATATACACTTACATTTGATGATTGAAAACACTGCTCCTCCTTTTCCAGGGTTGATGTCTAGAAGCACTCAAAACGGTCCAGCATTTGACATGCTATTCGTAAGCTACTCTATCACACAGCCTCTAACAAAACTAAGTTGCCCTAAAGCCCTGGTAATAGAACAGTTTACTGTTATACCAAGAAGGTTGGGAAAGCACCAAAATCTCTCTGTTGTGTGTGCCCAACCAGACTTCAAGGAGGTGTAATATGAGATCCAATTGCTGTGAAAGTGTTGAAGGCCAAGCACAGAGTTAAAAAGCTAACTGCTAAGATGAAGCTTTTTTGAGTAATAAAATCAAAAATTAAAAAAAAAAACACTGTCCCTGTGCTAACCTAAAATTGTTTGGAAGATTTTAAACGAAGCATATTTTTTCAAGTTGGAAATATAAGCAAACCAAAATATAATTTTTAAAACATAGTAAAACAAAAATATTAAGTTTTAAATAATGACCTAAAGTTGTTTGCCTGGGAAAGATAACATTTTAAGCTAATTTTACAAAAACAGTTCTTTATAATGACTATCTAAGATATTCTTTCTTAGCAGAATTTCATCTTTAAACAGATTTTTGTTACACCCAGAAGTCACTTTATATAGGATGAACACTGTGGTATTCAAATTTTACTACTATAACAAATTTCAATGTTTTAAAATCCTAGAACAAGGTTCATATTATAATAAAAATGTTGCAGATCTCTTTTTCTTTCATTTAAAGCTATTTCAGAAAGTTACCAAATCCTCTTGATTGTACTTTCTGCCTCTTTTGTTTCATCTTCATAGTTATACATAAGTGTACCTCTTTTAATTCTCTCAGTCATATATAAGTCCTAATGAACTCATTCCTAGATCATTATTCCAGTAGTTTTATAATTTTTTTTTTCTCTCCAGAATCTTATAAGCTCCAATTTATCCTATACAGAGTTAACAACAAAGACTTCAAATTTAGACCCATACAAGTCTCCAAAATGAAATTCTTAGGGGGATTTACACAAGATAGATTTCCTGCTGAAACCAACATCTTTTACAATTTTATACCAGACATATCCCTTTTTAAAAATATCAGAATTATCACTTTAAAAAATAAGATTAGATCTTTTGAACTCAGAATACTTCCTACATACACTTATTTTGTCACTTAATCATATGCTGCCTTATTTCATTATTTAATCATTTCATAGGCATTTATAACAAAATAGGCCATAACAAAATTGCAGTTCTTTTTCATCAGCCATAGTGTCTAACTATTATGCTATCTGTGCATTTCCAGGGACTCAATAATTATTAGTTAACTGATCAAGTACTTAATCTGAAAATCCCTGTTTTATTTTTTGCTTTGGTTTCCAAATTCTCCTTATTTCTCATTCCCTGATCATTGACTTAATCTGTTCTATTCTCTTTGCCTCATTATTTGGACTATATATATTTTTTCTAAACTAGAAGGGGCCTTTTTAGGTTTTTTTCTCTAAAAAACAAAAAAATAAAATCAAGTTTTCTTATTTTCAACAAGCACTTAAAAAAAGGAGCTTACCCTTCTCATACGCAATTCTTCCAATGCTTCCAGTAAACTTGTTTTGAAATCTAATAGCTGAATAGAAAACAATGTCTCTGAAGAACTTTGAAGAGCAAAGGTAGATGATGATGACTCAGTCTTGAAATCTTTCTCCATATTACTATTTATTTGCTGTAATATAAAAAGATTTTAACTGAATAAAATCTTTTTTTTATTCTAGGTTTTTTCTAGGTTTTTCAAGTAAAAGCATAGATACCATAAAAATGTAACAACCTATATCCCATAATCCTCCAAGTTCAGAACTGAGTAATAATTTTGACATCACTCCTACTCTAATGCTGATACAAAAACACTTAGAAACAAAGGTCCTTTTCTGTTTCCCCATGACTGAGGCCTCTTCTGCAGGCTAAGTACCCTCAGAGACTAAATTTTCTGCCCCTAAATACCAGTCTCCAAAAACCAGGGTTCGTAATGTAGACAAAACCTAGTCCTTCATAGTTGCTTCATGCCAAGTCTAAGATACACATTCTGCCTCCTAAACTTTGCCTTGACATAAAGTTACTTTGCAAGGATTGTGTGAATTCTAATTAACAGCAATGCAATCTTTAAATTCAACAAAGGCAGAAGAGTCCTGGGAAAACTGCCTTTTCATATTATTAAAAACCAAAACACTTAAATATCTTTTTCAGCCCAGAAAATGCACAAGTCGGGCTGCAAGAAACTTCAATTTGAAATGATTACTGATTCACAGGGAGTTGCAAAGAAATGTACAGGAATGTCCTGTGCACCATTCACTTGGCACTCCCCTCCCCAATGTTTTAACAATAGTACAGTATAAAAAGCATGTATCTGACTTTGGTACAATTCCCAGAATTTACTAGGATTTACCAGTTGTACGTGCACTAATTTGTGTGTGTGTGTTTGTGTGTATATATACTCACATGAAAGTTGATCCTGTCTACAGCTTCATGTAACTATGACCACAATCAAGACACAGAATTCTAACATCAACACAGGCTTCCTCAAACAGCCTCTTTGTTGTCATAACCACTCTCTTCCCTTGTCCTCAGCTCCTATCAAATAGTAATCTGTTCTCTAACTCTGACTTTTTGAGATTCCAACTTAAATAAATAAACAAAATAAAATTAAGAATTTCTGTTCAACAACAGACATCCTAAAGTAAATACAAAGATAAATCACAAAGAGAAATTATTTGTAACACCTATAAACAAAAAACCGAAAAATCACAGAATGTATTTTAAATATAACAAAAAAAGACAGATAAACCAATAGAGAAATGTACAAGATATCTGAACAGGTACTAAATTTATTTATTTATTTGTTTGTTTGTTTATTTTATTCTTTTCCAGTTGGAGTTTCACTCTGTCGCCCAGACTGGAGTGCAGTGGCATACTCCTGGCCACCGCAGCCTTGCCCTGCTGAGCTCTGATGATCCTTCCGCCTCAACCTTCCAATAGCCGGAACTACAGGCGTGCGCTACCATGAGCAGCTAATTTTTTCATTTATTGTAGAGATGAGGTCTCGCCAAGTTGCCCAGGCAGTTCTCGAACCCGCGGGCTCAGGCAGTTTTCTCGCCTCCGCCTCCCAAAGCACTGGGATTACAGGCTGAGTCACAGAGCCCGGCCCAGGTGCTTAATTTAAAAAGGATATCCACGCTTTGGGAGGTTGAGGTGAGTGGATTGCCTGAGCCCACGGGTTCGAGACCCACCTGGTCAACTTGGCAAGACCTCATTTCTACATTAAATCAAAAAATTAGCCAGGCATGGTAGCGTGTACCTGTAGTTCCAGCTACTTGGAAGGCTGAAGCAGAAGGATCGCCGGAGCCCAGCAGGTTGAGGCTGCAGTGGCCAGGAGCCTGCCACTGCACTCCAGTCTGGGTAATAGAGTGAGACTCCAACTCAAAAAAACAAACAAAAAAAAAGATATCCAAATGGTCAATATACACAGGAAAAGGTGCTTAGCTTCATTAATAATCAGTGATACTTAAATTAAAATGTCAAGATTCCACAAGATACCAGATTTGCAAAAATATAAAAGTTTAACATTACCAAGTATTAGTAAAGAAGTGAAGCAATAGGAAATCCCAGATACCGTCAGTGTGTAAACAGGTAAAACAATTTTGGAAAACAATTTGGTAGTAAGATGTTGAAGATATCTTTTCTCTCTGTAACAAACTCCCCTAAATTCAAATTAACATCCATTATCATTATCTTTTTTAATTTGGCTCAGGATTCTGAGGATTGGCAATTTGGGCTGGGCTCAGGTAGATGGTTCCTCTGTCCTCTGCTGGATTTATTAATGAGTCTGATCAACTGCCTGTCTGAAAACTCTGCTTCTGATAATAGTAAGGTAGCCTTAATTTGTTTTGATAGTGACTGAACTGGGTTCCGAGAGGAAAAGCAGAGTATTCAAGGTCTCTTGAGTCTCAGGTACAGGTATAACCCAACACTGCTTCCGTTACATGTCATTCACAAAGCAAATCACAAAGCCAGTCAAGATGCAAGGGGTAGAAAATACATTCCATCATTTGATGTAGGAAGATGCAAAAGGTACATTTCAAAGAATGTGACAAGAGAGTAAAGAAATTGTGGCCATTTATGCAATCCACCAGACATTGTCTATGATCCAGCAATTATTCTCTTCCATATATACACCTACTCCCATTGTCAGCTCTCAAACTCTTAGCCTTCCCTTCAAGGCTCCACCAAAATACCTCTTCCTCCAAGAAGTCACTTTGGTCTCACTAATTATAGTGGTTGCTTCATGTTGCTGAGCAACCATAACAATATGTAACTATTTGTTTCTGTCTCACCACTGAAAAATTCAAGGCAGCCTTACTATATAAGAATCTTAAGGGCATTATCTTAGAGCAGCCTGGCATGCCCAAGGTAGAGAGAAATCTGTCCTAAAAATACTGACTTTGGATAAAAGATTAATAGGAAACCCAGAAGTTATGTGTTGTTTTTATTTTTTAAAAAATTATACTGGTAGGCACACTGCCAGCTTGAACTAAAAAGGACTGAGACAGTTCAAAAGAAAAGAGGTCTTTGGGCCACCAAAGTACCACAAGTAGCAAACAAGACTGAAACAACCACCCATTTGCAAACAGAGGTCATTTCTTATGGAAAAGGCAGAGCCTTTCAAAGAGCTTAGCGAAGAATCCAGAGGTATGGTCAAGATGAAAACAATGGAATAAGGGACTACTTCCAGGTTGCAAGATGGAGACCAAATCCATGACAGTCCATGACCCCGGTAACATGTGCCCACCAGCATTTCAGAAATGCTATGAACGAGTGACTACTAAATGCCACTGCTTCTCCCCTTTTTAAATGAACATGTCTATTGTGGTTATCACCTCCCCATCTCACCACTGTACACTGGATGTGTAAGAGACAAATGATTTGTTTTTTAGGTCACAGGCTAAAAATCCATAGATGCTATATCTGAGAAGCTGCAGACAAGAGGTCTGAACTACATTTAAATGATCAAGTAATCCTGGACTTTGAGCCTGATACTGTTTTGGGTTGAGATTTTTGGAGGTCTTGTGATGAGGGTGAACATACTTTGCTTGTGTAAGAAATGTAAAACAGGTAAACTGATCAAGTGCTTAACAGTGACAAAGTCTTCCCATCATTCTATTTCAAATGTGACAGGGTCACTTCTCCCTTCCAGAGGTGGAATTTCTTTCTCCACTCCCTTGAAACTGGGATTGCCTTATCATTTGCTTTGGTCAGTAGGCCTTGAATTCTTTGCTCTCTGAGAACGCTCCTCTGAACCTGCCATACTGAAGAAGCAGCTCAGAATGAAAGACTACATGGAGAGAAGAGGCCCAGCTACCCCAATGTCCCAACTGAGGCCAGCAATCCCCACCAAGTTACACACACAATGCAGTTTCAAGAGTGAGCCTAGGCACGGCCAGCAAAGAAACATCCCCACAAACTCACGAAATTAGAAGAAATAATAAATCATCATTTTAAACCATTAATTAGTAGTGATTTGTTATACAGTCATAGAATCAATTTTTTTACTTTTAATGTTTTTTAACTGGGTTTTCTACATGGTCTTGTGGAAGGGGGCTTAAAAAGACATTTACAGTATCAAAAATTAGGCTAAGCATGAACTCAGCCTTTGCACAGTTAAGCATGTACTCAGCCTTTGCACAGTTAAAAAGTTCCCTTTCTGGAAATTGGCAACAGCACATGCTGGCTAGTTTAAAATGTTTAACAGGTTTTTTTCCCGCTTCTGTGAACCCCGCTAGCATTGCTTGAAAAGTACCTAGGCTTCCAGGATGTTGCAGTTTGGCCCACTTGGAAAGTCCCAATGTGGTTTTGCCCCATTTAAGCAAGCCCCTACAGCAAATGGGGGCCCTTGCTGTGGGACTTGCATGTCCAGCAGGCAAGTGGCCGCCGACCAGCTCTTGGCTAATAAACCTCTCCTTTTTGATAACTTGTACTTTTGGTGTCGGTGTCCGTGAATTAAGCGCTTGGTCCCTATTTCAGTCTCTCCTCTCCAAGTTCCTCTCCTTCTATTTGGTTTTCAACTCTTTCATGATTTTCTCAAATGTCTGATGAATCCCAGCTACCTATTTATTTTTATTTTTTAGAGGTCTTATTTATTATTCTTTTTAATCTATTTATATTTAAAGTAATGCATTACTCAATAGCATTTTTTTTAAAGCAAGGGAACTGTTCTAGATTAAAGGAAGACAAAGAGACATGACAACCAAATGCAATGTATGAACTATGACTGGATCCTAGATTGAAAAAAATGAGGTCAGGAGTGGTGGCTCAAGTCTATAATCCCAGCACTTTGGGAGGCCAAGGTGAGAGGATTGCCTAAGCCCATGGGTTCGAGACCAGCCTGGGCAACATGGTGAGACCTTGTCTCTACAATAAATCAAAAGATTAGCCAGGCATGGTAGCACACACCTATAGTTCTGGCTACTTGGAAGGCTGAGGTGGAAGGATTGCCAGAGCCCAGCAGGTCGATGCTGGGATGGCTATGAGCATGTCACTGCACTCCAGCCTGGGCGACGGAGTAAGACTGCAACTCAAAAAAAATCACTATTAAGGACATTTGGAAGACAAGCAGGGAAATTTGAATGCTGAGCATAATAGATATTTATAGATTTTAGATATTCCTAAAT